GGACTACAGGGTAGCCTGGTAAAGCGATAGTACTAGGCTTGTATTCGGTCTGTCCTCGTATGGTCTGACGTTTTTCGTTGTGGGGTCTGTTCCAGGTGTGAACTGATGGCCGATAAGGTAGACTATATATAGGAGTAATGCTATGACACAACTCCTTCCGGGTCCGACGCCGGCGCACCCGTGGACATTTCCGGAGATACCGCAGGGTAGACGGCGGAGGTGGGTTGGTGGTACGCTGGTGAAGTTTGAGGGTTGTTGAGTTTGGTGGTATTCCCCCTGATGAGCCGTACGCTGGTGAAGTTCGAGGGTTGTTGAGTTTGGTGGTATTCCCCCTGATGAGATCGCGTGGCGGCGATCAAAACCGGTCAGGGTGCCATGCCCGCCGGGACTTTGAGTGTGTGTTTCTAAGCATTTTCTATTCAGACTCTTTGTATTCTTGCGGAGTGTCTTGAACGTTGTGCATGTGAGTGTATTGCTCGCCTTGTACGTGTGATCACGAGTATCACCTTATCTGAATTCTACCTTGTTGGATATATCAGATGGCATACATGGCAAGATTCATTCGCAGAAGTCCTGGTGCGAGTATGCACTTGAAAAAAGAAAAAAAAGAAAAAAGGAAACGCTATTATTCGTACATCAACATTTAATAGTCATCGCCATCCCTTTATTTCCCCCTCCCTCCTCCTCTTCCTCCTCTTCCTCCTCTCCTCATCCATTCATCATCATCATCATCATCATCATCATCATCATCACTAGCATCACAACGTCAGTCAGTCGGCGTTTTCCTTCTCCTAAACGTCTCTCCCCGCCAGACCTGTTGTTATAGTTTTAAAAAATAACAAACTTCTATAAATGCTGCTGTAAAAAATACTCCTTTGACCAGGTAAGTTAGATACATACTGCCGCTATTTGGACATATCGTGAACCGAAATGGGCAGGCCCTACCAGGTCCCCGCCCAAAACAATACCGTATTGGAGTTTTTTTTTATCGAATTAGGTGAACGCGTAGAAGTTAGAGCAACGACGAACCGATTTGGAATTTCAAGAAGCTTCTTGGACCGGCAGATTGGAATTGGATTTTTTTTTAATCAAATTAGGTGAACCCGTCGAAGTTGGAGAAACGGCGAACCGATTTGGAATTTTGTGGAAGCTTCTTGAACCGGTAGAATTGGAATCTGCCATGTAGTCCAAGCGTTTTAGATTCTTGTAGAAGCTTCTTGGACCGGTAGTTCTGAATTGGACATCGTGTGAACCGATATGGACAGGTATTCTAGAAACTTGGACAGACCCACTGTGCCCTTCGTCAAAGGACTGAACGATTTAGACTGACGAGCGCATAAATTGGTGGGCCC